GAACTATACTCAAGTGGAATCAATAGCAAATATTTAATGTTCCAATGTCTTAGCCACACTGGTGTCTTAGCCATGTCAGTGTCTTAGCCACGCCATCAGAATATACATTTGTACAATAAGCAGAATCAATAGCAAATATTTAATGACTCAATGTCTTAGCCACACTGGTGTCTTAGCCACATCAATGTCTTAGCCATGCCATTAGAATATACCTTTGTACAATTACATTCCAATGCTTTAATACCTGATAATTGGCTACAATATTACAGCTAAGACTTTGAGGTAGAAAAGTGGTATTATAGGACAAATCCAAGCTTATATTTGCAAGGTCTCATGCCTTAGTGGTATAGCGCGCTGCAGTTACTTTAGGGCTGTGGGTTCGATTCTTGCTTGTGCCATTTTTTGGGCTTTTTGGAAATTCTTCAGCGTGTCTTAGCCGCTCTTGGGCGCTTCTGGGTGGCTAGTCCGGTGTAACTTAATAAGTTCCCATGTCTGGGCCGCCGAACTGAAACTCTTGGGCGACGATCCTACTACAGTGACTCGACTTGGATCTGTGCTTGCGTACTAGAATTTGTCAGCCTTTGGGGTTTTCCCTGGCCAACTGGTTTCGCGAAAGATGCTGCGAACAAATAAATATACGGCTCATGGGGTATTGTTCTCTTCAGCTCTCTGTTGACAATACACAACGCTAATCGCCCGCCCTCTAGACGTCGTAATGACGGCCAGATATCGCCTTCACGACCAAACATAGCGCCGATCTAGCATGAGGTTGACAGGAGTCCAGACGCACTAGTGGCTGAGTAGTTTCTCCGCACCGCACCCCCGAGGCGTTATGCACAGACAGCGCGGACGGGCAAGTAGTGGGATATTGAAGGTGTCTCGGCTCCCTGAGTGCGAAAAATTCTGTATCGGAGCCAAGAAGAAGGCCACAGGGTGGCAGCGGCGAGAGTTACTGTGAGAGCATGGGGAAATTACAGCATAGACAGGCATAGTAAGTTCTATTATATTGAGCCTGGCTAAGTCTGGACTCGAATCCCTGTTATGACTTTTTGGTAATGGAAAAAATGCCTATTAATGAGCTGTCCTAGATTGAGCTGCAAAAGACCTCCCAGAAGGTCTGGCAACTCTGGATCAGGCATAGTAATGCTAGTGTGGGAGCCAGGGCTCAGTGCCCATGAGCACGTCAAGCCAGGCCAAGCCAAGCCAAGCCCACCACGAGACAAGCCTGGCAGCGGGCTCAAGATCAAGCTCGTGGTGAAGCCAAGCCTGAGCCTAGCTAGTGGTTAAGGGTCCGGTCCTAAGGACCGGTCGGGACTGGGACTTGGACTGAGACTGGACTGATCAGGACTGGGTATGGTCCAGTCCTACGTCAGTCCAGTCTTGGTCACAGTCCTTGGTCCTAGATGGCGCTGGGTGCTTTTAGGACTGGTCATGACCGGTCAGGACCAGTCACAGACCAATAGAAAGTAACAAAAATGCAGCACCCAGAAAGCAGCTTGGCTACTGGTACATGTATATCTTAGTAATTTCTGAACTGCAACCATGCCCTTGTAGGCTTGTCCAAGTACACAGCCAGCTTAAGCACAGATTAATACATTTTTAAAAACTCTTTTTATGATTTATTCAAGTTTGGATGCGGTTACTGCACATAATCAGCTAAAGCCATGACCATGGGAAGATGGAGCCTGAGTGTAGAGATAACAAGGCTCTCAAGGATATGGAGGTTTTATACAAAAAATGCTGAGAATGATGAAAGTGGTGCATGATACCCTTCTTCTCTATTTAGAATCCAGCCGT